TTCTGCTAGCCTGTGTCTTTTTAAGGGTGAGTTTAGGCCATTAATGTTGAGGGATATTAATGACCATTGATTTCTCATTATTCTTTGATTTCCAATGGTTGTTTTTGGTGGAATTATGTGTGGATTTTCACCCCTTTGTTATTTTGGCTGTTGGTAGAGAGGGAGTCTCCAATGCCTATGTTTTTCTGGTTGTAGTTAACTTCCTTGGGTTGGAGTTTTCCTTCCAAATCTTTCTGTAGGTCTGGGTTATTGGATACGTATTTCATGAATCTAGTTTTGTCATGGAATATCATGTTTTATCCATCTATAGAGCTTTGCCTGGTATAGTAGTCTGGGCTGGTATCCATGGTCTCTTAGTATTGGTAGAATATCTATCCAGGACCTTCTGGCTCTCAGAGTTACCATGGAGAAGTCAGATATCATTCTGATAGATCTGCCTTTATATGTTACTTGGCCTGTTTCCTTAGCTGCTCTTAATATTCTTTCTTTATTCTGTATATTTGGGGTCTTGATTATCATGTGGCGAGCAGCTTTTTTTATGATCCTCTCTATTTGGCGTTCTGCAAGCTTCTTGTACCTTCATTGGCATGTCTTTCTTGAGGTTGGGAAAGTTTTCTTCTATGATTTTGTTGAATATGTTTTCTGCCCCTTTGAGGTGGTTTTCTTCTTCTATACCTATTATTTTTAGTTTTCATCTTTTCATGGTGTCCCATATTTCCTGGATGTTTTGTGTTAAGGATTTGTTGGACTTAGGATTTTCTTTGGTTGATGAATCCATTTCTCCTATTGTATCTTCAACACCTGAGATTCTCTCTTCCTTCTCTTGTACTCTGTTGGTAATGCTTGTATTGGTAGTACCTGACCCTTGGCCCAGCTTTTCTTTTTCCAGCCTTTCTTCAGATTATGTTTTTTATGGTCTCTATTTCAGTTTTCAACCCTTGCACTGTTTGCATTGTTTCTTGCAATTTTCGGTTTATCTTTTTGTCCATTTGTTGCATTTTATGATTTTTTTTGATTTGTTCTTTCTTCTATTTCTTGCATTTTTTGGTTTGGTTTTTCTTCCGTTTCTTGCATTTTTTGGTTTGCTTTTTCTTCCATTTCTTTCAGTTTTTTGGTTTGCTTTTTCTTCCAGTTCTTGTATTTTTGGGCTTGTTTTCTCTTCCATTTCCTGCCTTTTTTGGTTTGTTTCTTCTTCCCTTTCTTTCATTTTTTGTTTTGTTTTTTCTTCCATTTCTTGCAGTTTTTGCTGTGTTTTTCCTTCCATTTCCTGCCTTTTTTGGTTTGTTTCTTCTTCCCTTTCTTTCATTTTTTGTTTTGTTTTTTCTTCCATTTCTTGCATTTTTGGTTTCTTTTTTCATCCATTTCTTTGTTGGATTTTCCTATATCCTTTTTTAGGGCCTCTATCATTTTCACAAAAGTGGTTTTAAGGTCATTCTCTTCTACTTCATTTGCATTGGAATGTTGGAGTCTTTCTGGTGTGGAGTCTCTAGAATCTGGCGGTGTCATATTTGTTTTTCTGTTGCTGAGTTTGTTTTTGTATTGTCTCTTTCCCATCTCTTCTTCTAGTGGGTGCAGAAAGAGCCCCTTACTGGTCTGGTGGTTACAGGACCAGAGTTGATTTTGGTGGGTGCTAGCAAGTCCAATAATCTGGTAGTCCTTCTATTCCTTATCCTCCTTCTGTTCCCTGGACCCACTGGAACAGCCAGTGCCCTGGTCTGCCTGGATCAGCTAATTTCCTGGTCTCGTTGGTGGTAGAGATGTCCTGGAGTCTGGAGTGTTTGTCTCCCACCTGGATTGCAAACTCTGTGTAGTTCCCAGGTGATCTCCAGCACTGGACCTGCCTGAACAGCTGGTACCCTGGTCTCCCTCTTTCCTCTGGTTTCCTGGTCTCATTGGTGGGAGAGGAAATCTGGAATCTGGGGTGCTTGGCTCCTGCCTGGATTGGAAACTCTGTGCAGTTCCCAGGTGATCCCCAGGCACTGCAACACAGGCCCAGATGCAGGGTCTGTTTTACCTGGACCCGCCAGAACAGCTGGATCCCTGGTCTCCCTGGCTACTCTGGTCTATTATTAGAAAAGAGGTTGTAATTTCTCCAGATATTTCATATTTTGCAATTTCTTGTCATCATCATAATCGTCAAACCCACCTTCTGTAAATCAGTCTGCCAATCTTGTCACAAAGTGAAGCAACTGTCTCAGGCCTGAAATCTCCTGATAGTTTAGGTCCTGATGTTTCAACCACAGGATCTGCACAGACCTGAGAGACAGGAAATTCATTACCTAGGAGAGAATTATGATTTGAACGTCAGCATCCTTTGCCTGACCCAAGTGTCCTCCATTTCCTTGTCAAAATGAACTATGTCCTTATTTAAATATATTGCCTTCTCATGAATATGCAAATCATGTGAATCTGTGGTAGTAAATACAAGTATTTCTACAACAAAAACATATGATCAGTGTCCTCTCCATAGTAACTGAGCACACAGATCCTCACCATGGGATGGAGATGGATCATCCTCTTCCTCATGTCAGTAATTACAGGTAAAGAATTTCCAGTTCCAAACAAGAGTGCAAGACAGGAACTATGGTGACAAAGAAATACACTCTTCCTTCCTCTCCATAGATGACAACTCCCAGGTCCAGTTACAGTAGTCTTGTCCTGAATTGGGAAAACCAGGGGCCTCAGTGAATTTGTCCTGTAAGGCTGCTGACTACACATTTACTGACTGTGTTATGCGCTGCGTGAAGCAGAAGCCAGCACAGGGCCTGGAGTGGATTGGATACGTTTATCCTGAATAGGGTACTAGTTACTACAATCTGAAGTTTCAGAGCAAGGCCACAGAGACTGCAGACAAATCCTCCAGCACAGTGTACATGGAGCTCAGCAGCTTGAATTCTGAGCATTCGGCAGCCTATTGGTGTGGAAGAAATGCACAGTTTTGCAACCACATCCTGAGCGCGTTAGAAAACCTGGGAGAGCAAGAAGCTTCCCCAGGACTGAGATGACAGCCAAGATCATTATGCAAATTTGCTTGGAAATAATCATTACATGTGTTCCTTTGTCTGTCATTTTATAGTCTTATAGGGTCTTGGCCAATTTTTGAAAGGACTGTGGGAATAAAGTGATGCTGATTCAAGATCCTCATAGAGTTCACTGTACCTTGACCAACTATGTAACATTGAACACATCCATTGACATGATTCTTTTTTAATAAGGCAAAATAGGACAAACTGTGGTTAGAACTCACCCATAGAAGGACACACGATATGACATAGAGAAATTCATTTAGTTCCTAGACTCTGTCACTCTCCTGGCAATGCTACCAAATGGAAATTACAGGATTCAACAACCTTCTCAATCATCAAGAAGACAGTACTTTTCATAAAAGAATGACTTGTTAATTGGAAATTAGGCTGTACTATCTAGTCTCCTGGAGAGTCATTCTCAAGGTTCTTAATGCTGAGTCTTACCCAATCATTATAGAGGTCATGTTTTGAACAGCGAACAGGACTGGATGGATGGAGGGAGAGAAGATAAGGGTCCCAGTGTGGAAGCTCTAGGTTTTTCTCTGTCTTTCATAGAGACACATGAGGTTACTTTATTAGTTTGAAAATGTTTAAAACTAGTGACTTGGTGTACAAGAGTTCTAACTGAAACACAGTTCTCTCCAGACTATTAATTAATGCAAGTAGAGATTCAAATTTAAAGGTTACTCATAGAGAGACCTACGCAGCCAATCAGGGCCATGGTGACATCTGTCCCCAAGCTGCTACCAATGACCATATCTGGGCCCATAGCCTTGCAGCAGTTGTTAGTAGCGTGGATGTCCTATTCCAGAATGAGGAACAGTTTCCCAAAAGCCAGCTAAGTGCCAGGGACAGTTCCTGATGTCACTGCTGGAAGCCTTACAAAGAGACCAAGCTACACAACTGTCACACACATGCATAGGGCCTCAAACCCATGTAGGCAGCATAAATTGAACTCAGGAGCCTCAAGATTGAAAATAATCAAGGACATGAAATTAGCAAGTAGATGGGATGGGGAAAATGGAAGGACTTGGAGGGAGACGATGGATATGATCAAAATGCAATGTATGACATTTTCAAAGTATAAAAAAGCATACATAAAAAGTAATTTGGTTCAGTACTCTATGGTTTCATTCATTGGAATTTCTTTAATATATTCTAAAATCTCCTGTTAGTAGTTTCGTGGTCTAGAATCCTCCACAGTTTTTGACCCTCTAGAATGAAGTTACTTCAGGGAGTTTGGCATTACATTAGCCAAACAATGATGAATGTAGTTATTCTGAAATCGAGTATATTGGGAAATCTCCATTTATTTATCTACACATTTATTTTTAAATTGTGATAAAACACAAGTGATGTAAAACTTAACCATTCTTTCCCTTTAAGTGTATCCATCAGTGTTATTAAGTTCACATTGCTGTCAAATACCTGTTTCTAGAAAGTTTTCATCACTGCAACTGAAACACTGAGCACTAAACAACCATCCTTCACTCTCTCCTCCAAGACCCAAGTAACTGCAGTTCTATTTTCTGTCTTTATAGATTACATTATTTAGGTTACTTCAAATAAATAGAATGTTAAAAAATAAAAAAGTTAGTCATAGAAAATTACAATGTTTTGAATTACATATCATTGATCTTCAATACTGGGTATCACACACAGGTTATTGGCATTAACTAATGCTTAGCTACAATCTTGAAACCTATGTCTTTCATTTAATACCTTGATTCAACATGTAAAAAACTTTGTTAATCAAATATGTGTTATAATGGCCTCTTGAGTAGCTAATAAGAGAATGTTGTGACTGTGGCAAAAAAGTAAAGTAAAAAAATAAAATAAGGCTGAATTATATCAGAAATGCAGAATTAATTAACAATGGATGTTATATTCTTTCCTCATTGCTAGCTTTTGTCTCTTTCATTTACTCTAGGCATTTAAACTTCTAATATTCCTACTACTTATCTCCTTATGCAGAGCTGGAAAAGCAAACAAGGTCTCTATTTGCTCTTGAGAACCTGGACATCTCTCCACCTCCACATAATGCTGATGAGTCCAGTCCTGAATACCAAGACTTCCATTCAGCAATGCCACTGAAGGCAGACCACTCACATGGAGTTGTTCATAAGTGGAGATTTCCTCGTTGCTTCTAAATTTGTAAAATATTTTTGAGAATGTTTTAACCGGAGTATTGTGTCAATTAATATCCTCACTCAAATGCTTCCTGTATACAACTATTTCTCACTCTCAAATTCATGACTTCTTTATCTTTAGGTAATAATTTTACAGTCTAACTCTCAATTCTCCTGCTCTGTGTGTGTGTGTGTGTGTGTGTGTGTGTGTGTGTGTGTGTGTGTAACATTGAGCTCAGATGGTGGTAAGAGGAAGACAAGTGTTTGGGGATCCAGAGAACAGAAAGATGTGGCATGGAAGGAACTATGTGCACTGAATATTTAAGAGAGGTCAGAGAAATGCTGTCAGTATATTTGTGTTGGGTAAGAGCAGGTCTATATTGTAGAAAGGAATGTCAGCCGAGGAGGAGCTAAATGTTAAATATGGGACATCATAATGTGTTTTCTTCAGTGTTGAAGAATAATCTCAGTATTTATAGTCATATAGTATTTCTATTATTTTTGAGGATCAATCATAGATCTCATGCCAGATATGCTGTACCACTCAGCTATGGCCTCAGCCACATTTTGTAAATCCAGTTTAATTTATGCATTCACTATTCACTGAACCAGTTCTTAAATGACTGTAATGTAGTTCTCTTTCTCTGGATTTCTTATGAAATTATTTAATAATTTAACCAAGACAGGACAAGATCTCATAACTCAGAGTATAATTAAGTAAGGCCAACAACTTTTAATTCTATGTAAAAACATACTTTTATACTAAGTTTATTTACTTTTTTATTCCATCTTTCTTCTCCATTCTGCCTTACGAAGTTTAATACAGACCAAGCATGACTCAAAACTCTGATTCAGCTGCCCCATCCTCTATTCTATCATGCAGTTTTAGGAATAAACACAGAGCATAAAAATGGCAATCCACAGGCTACCAACTAAGCTGTGGCCCTGGTACTTTAAGGATATAAATGCCACTTTGGTCTTTATTTAATCTATGACATCTGCATCAATATTTGTCTTCATTATGGCTCCTGCCACTGCGTCCAATATATTCCAAGAAATCATGCAAATTATGTTCTCCTCTGGCCATGAAAAGCAGTGCTGACACTATAGGTGAGACAGAAGCACCCAATTCTGGACTCACAGGCCCTCCCATTCTGTGGTTACCAGTGAACACAAAACATTCAGCATGGAGTTAAGACTGAGCTGCGTTTTCCTTGTTGCTCTTTTCAAAGGTAATTCATACATAAGGAGAGATACTGAGCATGTTGTCAAGTATTATTGAGAGGTACAGTGGACATTTTTGACAGGTTACTGACAGGTTTCTCTGTGTTTGCAGGTGTCCAGTGTGAGGTGAAGCTAGTAGAGTCTGGAGGAGGCTTGGTGCAGCCTGGGAAGTCTCTGAAACTGTCCTGTGCAGCCTCTGGATTCATCTTCAGTGATTACTTCATGAATTGCATGCACCAGGCTCCAGGAAAAGGGTTGGAGTGGGTGGCAATGATAGAACACAAACCTAAAAATTATTTAACAAGTTATGGGGAGTCTGTGAAAGGCAGATTCACCATCTCAAGAGACGACTCCAAAAGCAGTGTCTACCTGCAAATGAACAACTTAAGAGTCGAAGACACTGCCATTTACTATTGTACTAGACACATTAAGAGAACTTCAGTGTGAACCCTGACACAAACCTCCCTGCAGGAGCGCTCACAACCAACAGGTGGCAGAGATCACATATGGAAGGAACTACAGTGCTGGAGCAGTTGCAGACATAACTGGGAGCTGGTTTATGTGGTCACAGCTGTCACCCCCTCTGCTGATTTCTCAGGATGTTCTCTGTATTTATTGACTTTGAGTCTGTAATAGCAGAGTTCTTTTTTACCACAATTTAAAATGAATACACCACACAGTCTAACATGAATTACATGTAAAATAGCTCACCTTTGACAGCAGAAATGATTCTGATGATGACAAAGAATCAAATACTGATGGTGGTAAGAAGGGAAGTATTGACACATCTTTTTTAATTTAAAAATTTTATTTTTATTATTTATTTTTATTTTTAAATTTAAATTAAATTAGAGACAAGGTTGCTTCACATGTCAATTCCAGGTCCCTCTTCCTTTCCCTACCCTCCTGCCACACCATCCCACCAACCACTCCTGTATCCTCTCATTTCCGCAGGGAGGGTGAGGCTCTCCATGGGGGTATGCATAATCTGTCAGTTCATCCAGGTCAGGGCTTGGATCCTCCTCCAAGAATCCAGCGTGAGAGTACATCTCTCATTGTTGGATGGGTGTCCAAAGTCTATTTGTACACTCGAGATGAATACTGATCTACTACACAAGACTCAATACATTACCTAGGCCTCCTCCCTGACACCCACATTCAGGGCATCTTGATCAGTCTCATGCTGGATTCTCAGCCCTCAGTATAGGATTCAAGAGCTAAACCTTGTCAGGTCAGCTGTTTCTGGGGGTTAAACCAGCCAAGTCTTAACCACTTTGTTCATTAGTCCTCTCTGTATGTCACTGGGTTCGTTGACTTCAGCTCAGTATTTAGCTGTGGGCGTCTGCCTCTGCTTCCATCAGCCACTGAATGAGGGTTCTGTTCCCCAGACTGCCTGGCCACAGGATGGTAGGTTGGCACTCCCCAGATATATGTCTAAAATCCATACAATGCAGAGTACATGCCATGTTTCTATCTTTGTGAGTGGGTTACCTCACTCAAGATCGTTTCCTATAGTGCCATATATTTGCCTGCAAATTTCAGGATTCCTTTGTTTTTTTTCTGCTGAATAGTGTGTAAATGTACCACATTTTCTCTATCCACTCTTCAGTTGAGGGGCATCTAGGTTGCTTCCAAGTTCTGGCTATTACAAATAATGCTGCTATGAACATAGTGGAGCAGACATCCTTGTTGTATGAATGGCATCTTTTGGATATATGACTAAGAGTGGAGTTGCTGGGTCTTGTGGTAAATTTATTCCCATTTTTCTAAGGAATCTCCATACTGATTTCCAAAGTGACTGAACAAGTTGGGAATCCCACCAGCAGTGGAGGAGTGTTCCCCTTCACCATAACCTCTCCAGCATAAATTTTCATTGGTGTTTTGATTTTAGCCATTATGTTAGGAGTAAGATGGTATCTCAGAGATATTTTGATTTGCATTTCCTAGATGGCTAAGGATGTTGAGCACTTTCTCAAGTGCCTCTCATCCATTTTAGACTCCTCTATTAAGAATTCTCTATTTCTGTAGCCCACTTTTTAATTGGATCCTTTGGTGTTTTGGAGACTTGCTTCTTGAGTTCTTTGTAAATTTTGGAGATCATTCCTCTGTCAGATGAGGTGTTAGTGTGATGGTGCATCAAGAAACGGCACTGTTACTGTAAGTAAAAATAAGTATTTATTGTAGAAATTACAAGAGACAAACAAGTTACCCAGATAAGCTGAGTGGTTTTCCACCGAACTGGAAGCCTGAAAGCCAGAAAAAGAGAGCTAGTCTTCTGTTGTTCAGTCTTTTATACCTTCCTCTGTAACGCCCTAGCCATGCCCAAAAGTTTGCCTGGCAAATGACGTAGTTCACCGCCTATGTCCTTATATGTCTTTAGTCATGCCTAAAGTGGGTGTGGTTAGTGGTGCGGAAAACAGCTCTTTTAATACGTCATCTGTGTGCACCTCTAGTAAGTCACATGGGTAATGGCGGCACACTGTCCTCCTACTGTAGTGAATATCATTTCCCATTCTGTGTGCTGTCTTTTTGTCTTGTTGACTGTGTCCTTTGCCTTATAGAAGCTTCTCAGTTTCAGCAGGTACCATGTGTTAATTGTTGAACTCACTATCTCTTCTAAGAGGTTCAGTGTGGCTGAATTTATGTTGAGGTCTTTGATCCATTTGGATTTAAGTTTTGTGCATGGTGATAGACATGGTTCTATCCACATTCTTCTACATACCAGCATCCAGTCATGCCAGCACCATTTGTTAAAGATGCTTTCTTTTTACCATTGTATATATTTAGCTTCTTTGTCGAAGATTAGATGTTCATACATGTATGGGTTAACATCGGGGTGTTCAATTCAATTCTATTGGTCTACCTGTATATTTTTGTGCCAATACCAAACTGGTTTCAGAATTACAGCTCTATAGTAGAGCTTGAGGTCAGGGATGGTGATGCCTCCAGATGTTGCTTTGTTGAGTAAGGTTATTTTTTCTATCCTGAGTCTTTTGTTTATCCATACAAATTTGAATATTGTTCTCTCAAGGTCTGTGAAGAATTGTGCTGGTATTTTAATGTGGATTGCATTGAATCTGTATATTGCTTTTGGCAGGATTGCATATTTTTACTACATTGATCCTAACTATCCAAGAGCATGGGCGATCTTTCCATTTTCTGAGGGTTACTTTAATTTCTTTCTGTAAAGACTCAAAGTTCTTGTGATAAAGGTCTTTCACTTGGTTGGTTAGCATAACCTCAAAGTAGTATTTTATGTTGTTTTTGACAATTGTAAAGAGTGATGTTTCTCTGATTTCTTTCTCATAACTTTTGTCGTTTGTATACAGTAAGGGTACTGATTTTCTGGAGTTGATCTTGTAGCCTGCCTCTTTGCTGAGGGTGTTAATCAGCTATAAGAGTTCCCTGGTAGTTCTTTTGGTCATTTATGTAAACTGTCATATCATCTGCAAATAGTGAATGTTTGAACTCTTCCTTTTCATTTTATATACACTTGATTTCCTTTTGTTGTCATATGTCTCTAGATTGAGCTTCCAGTACCATATTAAAAAGGTATGTAGAGAGTGGACAGCTTTGTATTGCTCCTGATTGTAGAGGAATTACATTGAGTTTCTGTCCATTTAGTTTGATGATGGCCTTTGGTTTGCTGTATATAGCTTTTATTATATTTAGGTATGTTCCTGTTATCCCAGACCTCTCCAAGTCCTTTATCATGAAGGGGTGGTAGATGTTGTCAAAGGCTTTTCTGCATGTAGTGAGATGATCATGTGATTTTTGTTTTTCAGCCTGTTTATATGGTGGATTACAATGATGGATTTTCATATGTTGAACCATGCTTGTGTGGGGCTTTCTATTTGATTTGAAATTTAGAAATGTTTCTCTTACGAACATCGATACCTTTGTATTTGGGGCATATATGTTCAGAATTGAAACTGCACTTTGTTGGATTTCTCCTGTGATGTGTATGTAATGACCTCCTTTATCTCTTTTGATTGATTTCACATTAAAGTCTATTTGGTTAGATACTAGGATTGCTACCCCTACTTATTTCTTTGGTCCATTTGATTGGAAAATCTTTTTCCCAACCTTTAACTCTGAGGTAACACTGTCTTTGAGTGTGAGGTGTGTTTCTCTTTCTTGTATGCAGCAGAAGTATGGGTTCTGTCTTCGAATCTATTTTTTTAGCCTGCCATATTATGGGTGAGTTAAGGCCATTAGTATTGAGTGATAATAATGACCATTGATTGCTCATTTTTCTTTGATTTGGAATGATTGTTGTTGGTGGAATTATGTGTGGAATTCCACCCCTCTTTTCTTTTGGCTGTTGGATAAAATGGGATTATCTAATGCCTATGTTTTGCTAGTTGTAGTTAACTTCCTTTGGTTGGAGTTTTCATTCCAGGACGTTCTGTAGGGCTGGGTTAGTGGATATTATTGCTTGAATCTAGTTTTGTCATGGATTATCTTGTTTTCTCCATCTATAGTGATTGGGAGCTTTGTCGGGTATAGTAGTCTGGGCTGGCACCCATGGTCTCTTAATGTTGGTAGAATATCTATGCAAGACCTTCTGGCTTTCAGAGTTTCCATGGAGAAGTCAGGTGTAATTCTGATAGGTTAGCCTTTATGTGTTACTTGGCCTTTTTCCTTAGTTGCTCTTAATATTCTTTCTTTATTCTGTATATTTGGGGTCTTGATTATTATGTGGCGAGGGAACTTTTTTGTGATCCACTCTATTTGGTGTTCTATAAGCTTCTTGTACCTTCATTGGCATGTCTTTCTTTAAGTTGGGAAAGTTTTCTTCTATGATTTTGTTGACTATGTTTCCTGCCACTTTGATGTGTTTTTCTTCACCCTTTTCTATACCTATTATTCTTAGGTTTGGTCTTTTCATGGTGTCCCATATTTCCTGGATGTTTTGTGTTAGGGATTTGTTGGACTTAAAATTTTCTTTGGTTGATGTATCCATTTCTCCTAGTGTATCTTCAGCACCTGAGATTGTCTCTTTCATCTCTTGTATTCTGTTGGTAATGCTTGAATCTGTAGTACCTGATCGCTTGCCCAGCTTTTCTATTTCCAGCCTTTCTTAAGATTGTGTTCATGGCTTCAGGGTTCATGTTTTACCTGAAGGAACATTCAAGCAGGCTGGACTTGAAGCAGGGGGCTAACTGCAAATGTGACCTACAAAAAAGAGTCTGTGACCCCTATGAATAGAACCCTAGAGGTGAAAAAAAAAAGATTGTGTTTGTTTTTTTTTTGTTTTTTTTTTTTTTTGCTTTTTACGAGACAGGGTTTCTCTGTATTGTTTCGGAGGCTATCGGTCCAGCCCGGAAGATTGTGTTTTTTATTTTCTCTCTTCCAGTTTTCAACCCTTGCAATGTTTGAGTTGTTTCTTGCATTTTTTGGTTCATTTTTCCATCCATTTGTTGCATATTATGAATTTTTGTTTC